CTTTATTAAGGACCTACGCAAACAGAAACAGCACATAACAGCATTAATCTTCGAACAGTGTTCTGTGACATGAAATCAGTTACAGCCAATAAATCAGCCTATTAGGTGATACAGGTGATATGTGTGTGAGTACAATTGTGGACAGGAAATCTCTTTTCAGTGAACAAGAAAAAAAAAAATCTATGTATGTATGCATGTATGCATGTGTTTATTTATGGGTTGCGTCCCTCTGTACTTTCAGTTGTCATAAATTAATTGTGACCTACCTTGTTTTCTGTTTTAATTAACTCCAAAAGTGAGGACTGTTCATAAGGAAGAAGCTGTAATGAGACAAAACAAAAGCAACAGGATAAATCTTGAGTCTCTGAAAGCAAGGAGAGAACAGCCAATGACCTTTAAGAACTGCAAAAATCAAATGATTGAGGACCTTCAAAGCTATTGGATCCAAAGTGAAATCCCAAACATCTCCTATGGAGTCATCCAGGGCTTCCTCAATAGCTTTGAGCTGAGATGTATAGTCCTCCAAGAACTTCCCATAGTTTTTCAGCTGCACTTCTGTATGAATTTCTAGAACATGAACATGAGTCAATCTCCATAACTCAGCAACAAATATCAACAGCACAACCATTCATTCTAGCATTTTATAGAAATAACAGTTTCTAAACAATTAATTAAGGTAGACTTCATCTAAGTCCCTAAAACAGGCATATCCACTGAAAATGTACCCTAATTTTAATGATGGTGGCTCATAACCAAACAAGCGCAGCATTGCGTATTTACTGCTTAAAAGTGGTTTAGCCACCACATGATGCAGCAGTCATAGAATCATCTCTCCATCCTCACATTCCCTCCAATGTTAATAAAAATAGGATGCAATGGTATGCAAATCGTGTAAATCATTTCTTAAAAAGAAAATACTACAAAGGCAGCATATCAAATGTTAAACCTAAAATTTTTTATTGTTTTTTGAAAAATATATGCCCATTTCTAATTTGATGCCAACAACATGTTTCAAAAAAGTTGGGACGGGGTCAGGTTTACCACTGTGTTTCATCACCTCTTCTTTTAACAACACTGTAAGCATTTGGGAAACTGACAAGACCAATTACTGTAGTTTTGAAAGTGAAAGGTCTTCCCATTCTTGTTTGATACAGGATTTCAGCTACTCAAGAGTTCCGGGTCTCCTTCATCGTATTTTTCATTTCATTATGCGCCAAATGTTTTCAGTGGTGACAGGTCTGGACTGCAGGCAGGCCAGTTTAGCACCCGGACTCTTTTAATACAATGTGAGGTTTCCATACCCAATCATGTTACTGACCTGTTGCCAATTAACCACCAGGTGTATCATTACACAACTTTACCAGCCTTTTGTTGCCCCCGTTCCAACTTTTTTGGAATGTGTTGCTGGCATCAAATTCAAAACAGGCATATATTTTTCAAAAAACAATAACATTTTCTTAGTTTAAAGATTTAATATGTTGTATTTATACTATTTTCAATTAAATATAGGGTTTAAATGATTTGCACATCATTGCATTTTGTTTTTAATTATATCTTGCACAGCATCCCAACTTGGGGTTGGGGTTGTACATGAAATGGTTATGAATACACTGCCTAACGTCTGAAAGAGAGTTTTCTGATACAATTTTGGTCAAAAACAAATTTTAATCAACTTATTTGAGTCCATTCATGGTGGAGGGACACATGAAGGGTCTTCTAAAACAAAATGGTCCCCAAAGAAAACTGACCATTATTTTACCATCATCAGCGTTACATATAAAACTCAGAAGACGTGTGGAGGTTCACTGGTGGTTTTGGATAGTAAATAAATTGGCTATATTTGCACTGTAGACATCAGGACTTCTGGTTCCTATCACCACCACTGTAAAGAAATGTGAGTCGTTATGTTTCTCTACAAATGAACCATTTTATACCAAACCACTCTGAATGACTCTGTTTATATCTTAACCACCGAATTATACAGAACTTTTGAAAAATCAGTGGAATTCCCCTTTAAGGGGATTGTGGGATTACACTAATGTTATGTCGATGCGCTGCAACATCGTTAAGAACAAATTTCACTGTCTATTTGTAGCTTAATTTTGGACTTTATTTATAAGAAAATGTTTTGTTTGGATTTACAAATTATCAAAATTAATTGAAAAATGAATATTTTTATGTAATCTAAGTGTTTTATTGGCAAAGCAATATACACATAAGTGTAAGGTGCAAAGATTAGACCCCTATTTTATCACTTCATCAAAAATGTGAAGTATTATTTAATATGTCTTTCTTATCTTCTTTATCTTGTCGATATTTTCTCTGTATCATTTTATTTATATGCCCGTTAACTTTTCGGTCTCCCCCTGGCTGTACCTTATCCGTGCTAATAAAAAAATTCACTGGACTGTACATCGCTTGGTCGATAAATTAGGCTGTTTTGTCAGCAAGCAGCCAGTGTTTACAGCCTGTCTCCTACATCAGCAGATCACGGGATGCTAGCTCAAAGCTCACTTGAGCCACTGTGATGACATTAGCTACATTAGCTAGCTAAGCTAGCTAGCTACCTCTGACTCTAACGAAAACAACATCTCATGTCTGTTGACCCTTTATATTAAGGCACTGTACCGGCTGACTTGATTCTGAAACTACAGCTTGGCGAACGTGTCTGATCATCTGACCAAAATCACAACGACAAATTAACTTACACAGCTAGGCTGTTAGCCTGCTAGATAGCTAACTCAACAGACGTTTAATTGCTATTTTAGCTCCAGCTCAGTGAAAGTTCACGGCACGGCAGACACAGCCCTTACTCTGAGATCCGTCATCAAAGCGATCAAACTCCCAGTCGGCTGAGATCGACTCCACTGCCATCCTGCGAACTAGCCCGGGCAGCTTAGCTAGCAGACCGAGCAGACACAGCTGCCATCCGCAGCTTACAGACAGTAAACAGCAGTTAACGGGGAACTGAACTGAACTGCACTGCACTGCACTGCACTGCCCCCGGCTCTCTCCACTGTCGCGACTCTCTGTTGGTCCCATGATTTGCTGAACAGCATGAATTTCCGGTGTGGAGCTCGCAGGGATTTTTAGAGTAAAAGTTCACGACCCCCGACGATGGGAGATAACTTAAAAAATGTTTAGTTGCTTTATACCAGTGAAGTTAAGACAGCTGATGGTGGTCAGATTTGATAAGGATGACGAGTTTTGGTTGTATTTCATAAAGCAGGATTTCTCAACATAGCTAGATAACTTAAAGGGGAACGCCACCATTTTTTTCAAAATTTCTGCATGATTTAGTGGTTAAGATGCAAACAAAGTCATTCAAAGTGGTTTGGTGTGAAAGATTTGGTGTCAGATTTGTTCACAGTGGTGATAAAAGGATTCAGATGTCTGGAGAGTTTAATGTCTCTGAAACTCCCTCACACAAAGATATCACATGAAATGGTTATAGTTACGTTGCCTGATGTGTGAGACACTGTTCTGCGATAGTTTGTGATAAAGTTTTGGCCTAAAACGTCTTGTGAATCCACATTTTAATCCATTCATGGCGGAGCCATCGTCGACCTTACATGTAAATGAGCTCTCTGTGTCCACCCAGTAGCGCATTCCTGAAAAAAACACTTGACGAGTATCATAACTGCCACTCAGTCGTGTGTCTGTCTGAGGTGTCCAGCATATTCAGCTTTTCTGCCAGCTGGTTCAGCTGTGTGGTTTGGAGGCCTGCGCTTCATGTACGTATTTTTGGGTGTTGATGTCCTTTCTCATGTCAACTCAGAGTGAACAAGTCTTGCTCAGTTGCCGTGCAAACTCCCAGAGTTGAGGAGTCAGCATCGAGGTCTTTACTGCACTGTCCTGTTGGTCAGCAGCGGGCTGATTCAGTAACATGAGGCTGAGAGACTCGGAGTGGACAGAGACCTGCTGCCATTCATTGGAGTTTTGCTGTTGTTGCTTTGCCTTCAAGTAAGTCATAGTATTTTTGTTTAAATACCGAGTTCCATAGATAATTTACACAGTTTAATAAACTGAATATGACGTTTTGGGCTGTGCAGTAGTGCACACTAGATTTTTACATTGGGTTTCTCTGCAATGATAGTGATATACAGTGATGCATCAGACCTGTAGAAAGTCTGTGTAGGCTACACCTTGTATATTTTGTAGGCCTACTTGATGAATAAAACATTCTCTAAAGCAAAGAAATTATGCAGATGTCCTCGCTCCCTATATGTCAGTGGTAAAATACTGTGAGCTGATAGTATTGTGAAAGGCCATATAGGATCAACTGAGTCTTCAGGAGTCTGTTTTTTTAATCTGTGTGATTTTCACAAATGATTTGAAGCTGTTTTGATTGGAAGGTTCATCACGGTAAAACAAAAGACATGAACAAGCATGGAGCTGACACTGCTCTCCTACTTATATGACCTGCATTGTCTGAAAATTCCTGTTGCCTCTCTCTCTCTCTCTCTCTCTCTCTCTCTCTCTCTCGGATGGATAGCAAACAGCTAAAACGTTTTAAAGCATCACTGTAAAGCCATTCAGCATTAAACACCCCTCCTTTAAAACATTTTCAAGGTTTTAAGACGCACTTGAAAACATAAACAGTGTCGGTGTAGAATTAATTTATACACATGGCCACAAGATTTTTCCGTGTGGCACAAAATACTTCTCTGAAAATCTAGAATTCACACATTAAGTCCTTAAATAGGACTGTGTCCTATTCTACAAAGACCATGGATTCATTTGGTGACCCCAATCAACAGGTGGGAAAACCAACATCAGCTGGTTTAGAGGCTAGAAATGTTGAGTGCCAGATTATTTCCTCTCTTTGGGGTGCAAGACCTGATAGATCCTCAGGGCTAACCCACAGTGTCACTAGCAATATAGAGAAAGAGCACTCAGAATCAGACCCACTGCTTCCTACTGGCGGTCTGTGGTCATCAGCGGCCTCTGACACCGGTCTACAGCAATGTGAGGAACAGCGGCCAGTCGATGGTCCGGCAATGCCTAATGAATCAGTCTGTGCCACGGTGCTTCAGATCCTGGTTCCGTTCCTCCTGGCAGGCTTAGGGACTGTAATGGCTGGCATGCTGTTGGATGTAGTGCAGGTAAGTAGGCTATGAGGGAAATGGGGGAAAGACAAACACTGGAAGATAATATTATGTCAGTCAGTGAGAGATCTCTGTGTGTTGGTGAGGCAGCACTGGGATGTGTTTCAGACCGTTACTGAGATTTTCATCCTGGTGCCAGCATTGCTTGGCCTGAAAGGGAACCTGGAGATGACGCTGGCATCAAGACTCTCTACAGCGGTGAGCACATGACTAACTAATGCGTCTGTGCCAGTTTCTTTTAGCTTTCATCTCTCCTATTCAGCCTCATTCTCATCTATCATTCAGTCTGGTATATATTGTTTGTACATACTTTTAAATCTGAACTCAAATAACCAGTCTTTTCTCTGTTTACTAATGTATTTCCTTTAAATCTGTTCCTGGTGACTCACTAAGGGTTTGTGGTATGTCACATATTAATTATATTCTTTGTCCTCTGTCACATGGTCCTGGTTTCAGTGTGAAACCTTGTGCTGTGCTGTGAAGAAAATAGCACTTGTGCATAGGCTTAAAGATCCTCCTGTTCCAGTGGTTAAACACTTTTTTACCACAAAGACCCTCTGTGGAATGAGCAGTGATAAAGAGTCATGGGATTTGTAGTTATACTTCGTTACACTATATGAATATGGAGGACCAGATTACTCGAAAATGAAGTGAAATCCATAAATAATTATGAATAAATGATTTTATTTTATTTTTGGTATATATAAATGAACATGGACTTTTTCCCATAAAACATTTCACAGATATAATAATGCAACAACTTGAATATCACATAAAATGCTTAAAACAGCTACATGTTTATTATAGATGAATACTGGCAGAATGAACTCCCCAAGAGAGAAGTGGAACTTGATCATTGGAAATCTTGCTCTCAAGCAGGTGAATAGTAAAGTTTTTATTTGTTATTAAAATGTTTCTCAACTCAGTTTCTAGAACTCACTAGACAGCTCATATTTTTGCTCAGTTCCCTGCACATCTTATTATTAAGCTGGCCTAGAATGAAATTGTGGACAACCTACTGGTCCTTAAAGACTGTTGAGAAACACTGTGTTGTTATTTATGTATGTGCTCTTTGATGAATGCAGTTTCTCCTCTGCATTATGCCTCTCGTGTCCCCTCAGGTTCAGGCTACTGTGCTGGGCTTCCTTGCTGCCCTGGCAGCTTCAGCGCTTGGATGGGTTCTTGATGAGAAGCTTGTAATGAACTATGCAGCACTGTTATGCTGCAGCAGTGTTGTGACAGCATTCACAGCATCATTGTTGCAAGGTAAGAATACAATATTTGAATGGAATAAGGAGCTGCATCATATAAAATGGGTTATTCAGATGAAAACATACAGTATGGTCTTCTTGAGGCCAAGATGATTTTATTATAGTGCACACAAGTGTACTATCTTTGAGAGAGAGGAGAAAATCAAGCTCCACTCTTATGTCAGATCTGAAAAAGATCAGATCTGTTTCTGTCAATCCTTCTACTGTGAGAAGACAACTCAACACTGAGTCTGATGGGATGTGTAGCTGTCAAGAAGTCAAAGAAGTAGATGCTCAGAAAAGGAAATAGACAAAAATGAGGAAAATTTCCCAATCAAATAAAGAAGCTGCTGGTGTTTGGAGGAGTGGAACAATACCCCTGCAGATTTCTTTGAAAAGCTGAAAGCAAGTCTCCTGAAGTTTTACACTCTAAGTACTAAAATACATCTGTATGTTTAATTGTTTAAATATAGTTTCCTGGTAAATATATGTTTTCTGTTTTTTTTCTGATGCAGAAAAATCAATACCTTGTACTTAATGGCCATTTTGTCTGACTTTTGCACAGTACTGTACCCTGGCAGGATCAGTAAGTTTGGGTACAAGTCATAAAATTTGGCCTATGCAAATGACACAAGACTTGTGATCTTGTGCATGCAAACCAATTTACCATATGGTTACAGCAGAATTACTATACATAAGCTGTGTAGTTTATCATGTTTAATGCAATAATATGCTGACTATCTGTACATTTGGTACAGTCGCCACTTACCTCTATGTTGTCTGTTTCCCACAGGTATCATTATGGTAGGAGTAATTATTGTCTCAAAGAGAGCAGGTATCAACCCTGATAACATAGCAACACCAATGGCAGCCAGCTTTGGTGACCTCATCACTCTGGGGCTCCTTGCTGTCATCAGTCAAGGGTTCTTACACTGCGTTGGTAAGAGAAAAAAGAAAGAAAGAGAAACAGTTTACTTCACCAGATCTCTGCTGTGTACCAATTAGATGTAGGGCTGGGTGTCAATATTCAACACTTTTATGGTATCAACCACATTACTTCAATACTGTCAAGTTAAAATTTTGTTTAATTCAGTACCTCCGTAAGTAGTTTAGCTTATTAGTGTTGGGGAGCCAATGAGAATGCTTGTTCCAAAATCTAGACTGTTAATTGGCTGTCTGAAATACATTCCCAGAGTGCTAGGCACCATACTGTGACTGGAACTTCGGAATTTTTTAACTTATTTGAGAAAAGAAACAGGCAAAAGAGTATGTGACATATAATTATCTTTTTGTAAATATGTTTTTGTTTTACTGTAAATATAGAAATATAATGTCCTTACATTCAATGTTATAGTATTTTAAAGAAGGCATGTTGAAAAGTATTGTTCAGGAATTGGTATTGAAGTCAGGTATTGGTGCTGTTATTAGTATTGAATATTTTTCAAACAGTACTCATCCCTAAACAGGTGTTCATTCAAATAATTTTTGCTAGCTTTACTTTTTGAAGTAGACATGTAAATGAGTTTTTTAAAACTTGAAATTGTGTGTTCATTCTCTGCCTTTCTCGTTCTCCACAGAGCCCTCCCCCTGTGTTGTCTATGTGGTGTGTGTTCTCTTTCTGTGTCTGACGCCAGTCTGGGTAATAATTTCGTTTTGTCACCCTGAGAGCCGCAGGCTGCTGTACTGCAGCTGGGAGCCCATAATCACAGCCATGGTCATCAGTAGGTCAGTGGATACTGACTGTAATCTTACTCTTAGAAACCTGATGAGATCAGTCCACCTTGTTTCTTGTAGTGGTCATAGTTTTATACAATATGGTGTACATTTCCAATATTATGAAATAAATTGTTTTTATTTTTATTTTAAGGCATACAAGTCTGAACAGTCAGGGTTCCTTTAAATATGGAATAATGATGTTTAAAAAAAAAACACTTCCTTCACGTCCTTCTGTATGTCTTCAGCCTGGGAGGACTCATTTTGGACAGAGCCATGACTGATCCAAACCTAATGGGAGTAGTGCTTTACACACCTGTTATTAATGGTTAGTCAAGATATCAGAATTTAAACCAGTCACTGTTTTAATTCACCGTTATTGGTGGGAATACAAATGATTACATTGAATTGCATTATTTCTTTGACAAGGCAGTGGTTATTTTAGTCGGTCTGATTTTTGAAGAGATTGTATATGAGTATGACTAGAATTCAGCATCTTCAGTGTTATTGCTCTTTATTATAATATTTAAACCTGATAACGACTCACTTTACTAGTAATTACTTTTCTTTGGTTCTCATAATGAACTGCAGTAGGGACCAAAAGTCACAAGAGGTCATTAGTGAAAATGCTTCTATTTAGCATTTTTTTCTAATTTAATGAAACATTTTTCATTACAAATTATATTATCAGCATAACAATCTGAGCGAACAGTAAAATTTTTATAACTTTTAACATCAATTTCAGAATTTCTTAGAGTTTGTCCCATTTTTTTAATGACAGTGTGCACTCAAGCTGGCACAAGTAGAGCAAATCTTCCTCAGACTAAAAAAGATCTGACCTTTTTAGGCAGAGGCCTTAATATCACAGATTTGCTTACATGAAAATATAGAATCCAGATGTGACCAGGAAGGTGTCCATACACTTGTCATAACTTTGTTTTCAATTTTTCAAAAGTTTGTGTTGTTTATTTCCAGGATTAAATGAAAACATTCCTATATTTTCAGTGTGGTCTTGGACTTTTGGACTGCACTGTGTAGTATCAGCAGACTATAGGGGCAAATGTCACAATGAACTCTGAATCTTTTATTTGCTCTCTTTGTCATAAAGTAATGCTTCCTTGGCACACAGGTGGCCAAACAGCAATTATCCAAATACTTATGGTCTCCTGAAATTGGAACATTATACATCAAAATGGCCATGATTCATATATTATTTACCTAATATAGATAGTTATTGTTTAATATAAATTCCTGTTGTCATTGTCTGATTACTTACTGATTGTGCTGTGTTTTATGTGTGTTTTTAGAGATCTTTTATGTTTCTCTGGCATCTGCATTTGAAAATTATGAAACTGTGCATGGTTTATGTTCAAGGTGTTGGCGGTAACCTGGTGGCCATTCAGTCCAGTCACATAGCTACATACCTTCATTTTTACTGTTCCTTGGGGGAAACTGCCTGAGCACGCCAAAGGCTGTTACTGTCCGTCCCACACCTTTTATGGCAAAGGTAGAAAATATCTCTAATAATGTTTTATACTTTAAATAAATTAATATTTATAGGAGACAGAAGTATTTAAAGTGACCAGATAATATTTTAAAAGTATTTTTGATCCTGTAAAGTAAATATGAACACATGGTGGTGACTGTTGATCAGTCTTTGTCTTATTAACCACACAGTTCAGTATCTTTTCTATATTTGGATGTGTCTGTGTTTTTTTTCTACACACTCACAATGTTCCGACACTATATTTATGAAAGTACAGCTCTTAATAAAGTTCTCATTACATGTTTACCTCCCTTTTAAAATGCAAAAATGACAGGTAATCCAGGCTGATCTAGAACTGGCTACAGAGCATGCATTCATAAAGCTTGAGGTCAGGAGCTTTGACTAATGTCTTTGCCTTGTGCTGCATGATGATATGTTTCCTGCAAACTTTGTGGCCCTGATCCTCTGTAGAATCATCTGTTGGATTTATTTATTTTTCAGTTACTCTCATTGTACTTGATTCTGTGCAGATAGTGATTTAATAGCGCTTCAGCAGTTTCTACTTTAGTGATAGAGTGTATGTGTGTTATGTTTTTCTTCATTATCATGGCAAATTACATAACAATACACTTTTCTGAGAATATCATGGGTACTGTTAGTACAACAGTCAGTGTATAGTAACTGCATAACTAGCATAGGAAAAACTGCCAATTGGATATCAGCTCATTATATTGAGTGTCCATTTCTAGTTTTAATCCAGTGTTCCTCAATCCTGGTCCTGGAGTACACCCTGCTGTGCACATTTTACAGAGGATATAGACATCCCAAAACATCTGAATGCAACTACTCGGCTCATTAACAACCCTTTACTTAGTTGTAGTGGGGTATTAAAGCAGGGAAAGCACTAAGCACATGCAGGACAGGGAGTACTACAGGACTAGGGATGGGAAACACTATTTAATCTTTTTTTATTTATTTTCCTAGTTTGTTTTTGAATAAAATGAATAATTGTACTCACAGTTTTATAGGCTTTTTAAAATGCATTTTATCCACTTCTACTTTTTCACAAACCACATAAAAGCTAATTACTTTAATACATATCAGATATCTACAATTCCAGAAAATGAATCAAGTTTCCAGTCCTGGCTTTTGTATTTGTTACTAGTTAACTGAACAGCTGATGTGACTGTTTGGACAGCTAGTGTCATACCTATGTCGGGACCAAAGGCTATCCCCTTCAACCCCAGGCCTCCAACATAATATTATGAATAAAAAGAAATCTTTTAATACCGGCCAAACACTTACACTAATAACAGTCTAAAAGTCTAAGTTCTCAAAAGATGTCAAAAAGGAAAGAGTCTTCAGATGCTGAGTTTGTGGAAGAGGGAGTTTGTGGAAGAGGGAAAGGGGCTTCTTTTCTTTATTTCAGCATCAAGTGGCACAGGGTCTCGAGAGACCCAACTGCGCAAATACAGTGTTCCAAACAACAGTTTATTATATACCATTTATCTGGGGTAATTTGATATCCCCCCACCTTACTTCTCAAATTTTGATATTAGCTCATTCTTTAATAGGTGCATCTCTTTGTCCATCAATCTGGCCATCACATGATGAGCTCACTCCTAAAAACTGTTTTTCAACTGGTTTTTACCAGTCTGCTTTATCTTTCAAGGTCAACTTGTACCTCTCTTCGCTGGGTCAGTAAGTACACACAGACTCTCTGTGAACCCAGGGGCTTTCCAGTGTCTAGAATCTCCTGTGCAGACAGACTAAGGCCTACCCTTTGTGACAGAATTAATATTCTCTGTTGGCCAATACTACCTATTTAGTTATCGATTACAATATCTAATCTATTTGATTACTGATTGAGGGAATATTTATTCAAAATCTCTGTCACCTACCAGTGATAAAAACCAGGAATGGAAATTGCACTGCAGCTCTGGAGATCTCTGGTAGTGTATAGTGAAACTGTTGTCAAGTACTATGTGGTTGTATTTTTCCATATAACCCACCATTAGCATCCGAGCTTGTTCACTTCTTTTCTGCTTCATTGAATGAAATTCTCAACCTGTTTGCTGCACTCCCCTACAGTGGGGATCAAAAGAGACCACTGGTGCTTCTATTTTGCATTCCTCTCTGATTTAATACAAAGTTTTTAATTACAAAATATGTTATCAGCCTAACAATCTGAGAGACAAGTCGAATCCTTGAATTTTAACATGAATTTCAGAATTTCCATTCATCCACCTCTTTGCTTACTGACAGTGTGCATTCAAGCCAGCATGACTCCGATCACTAACACTGACAAAAGCCTCTGATGAGTAGATCAAATCCACCAGAGACTCATCTGCTTCAATGAAAGGAAGAAGAATAAAAAATTGATCTTGTTATACAAAGGCTTTAACATGGTCAATGTCACAAAGGTGCTTAAATTTGAATGCTGATATAGAAATAGTGCAAAAATTGAGTATTGAGTATTGAGTATTGAACATTTTTTGATGCTCATTTCAAGATTTCAGGTCTCAGACTTTTGGACTGTACTGTATGCATAGCAAGATGTGCCCTTTTATCACTCTTCCCATTGCTTGTGAGAGTGAGAGCACCTATCTGTGTAGAAAATATTAAATAAGTTCACATTTTATTAATGACCGAAAACAATACACATTTTGTTATCCTTTAAAAGCACATTTTACTGCTTACTTTATACTGTTTTTTGCAATAAAAGAAAACAGTGTACGTGAGACATGAATGGTGCTGTGTGTTGGCAGGCCCCACCAGCAGAACTGCTCAGGTGTTGCTGCTCCTGGCCATCCCAGGCCATTTGATCTTTCTCTACATCATTTATCTCATGCAAGGTGGCCACACAAGCCCAACAGCAACCTTCATCACTCTTTACTTAGTAGCAGCTTTTACACAGGTTAGAAAAGAGTTCATATTTGTTACTTTATGCTATTTGTGTAATATACTCATGGTTGTCTTGTTGTAGTATGTAATAATAGTCTTCTTCTTGACCTGTGTTTTTGTCCTATCAGGTATTTCTGCTGCTGTGCATTGCTGACTGGATGGTTCACTGCTTGTGGAGGTATGGCCGAGACCCAGACAGCTTTGCTATTCCCTATCTGACAGCTCTAGGAGATCTGTTGGGCACTGCTCTGCTGGCTTTGTGTTTTTACCTACTTCCGGTTATCACTGATGAGGATAATCATTTGGGTGACTGAATGTTTTTTACCATTATTTTAATGACCTACATCTTAAAGTGTACCCCTTCCACAAACACAGTTTTCATAATTTCATATTTTTGTTAGTTTTATTAAATTTTATTATCACTCTTTGTAACACTCTGCCCTTGTCACATGACAGTGTCACAGTGGACATTAGCCACGTTTACATGCAGCCTGATAATCCGTTAATAATCCGACTGATAGCTCAATTGGAATAGAATACGTCCATGTAAACTCTTAAATCGGAATAGTCTAATCCGACTGAGGCCATTCGCAATACAATTTCTATCCGATTGAACGAGGTGGGTAATCCTTTAAATAATCAGTTAAATAGAGGAATAATAGCCATGTAAACGCCTTTATCGGATTACATTTCCAATCGGAACATGTAAGTACGTTCTGCGCATGTGCGTCGCGTCATATCAACAGCACAGAACTGATAAACCGGCTCTGGCAAAAATTTATCACGTTCAACATGGCGGAGCAGAAACGGGTCTGCAGAGGAGACGAAGTTTATGCTCTGGTCTTTAAAAAACGGGCGTCCAGCTTATGTGTCTCTGAACATGACGTCTTCCTCTCGGCCTTCTTTAATAAGGACATGTGAAGGACGTTTTCCTTTTTTAATCGTAATTTAAAACTCCAGCGCTCCAACTGGAAACTCATCTCACCCTGACTGGACCTCACGTGACGCTCGCTGTCATGGTAACGTTTCCTCTTAGAAGATTACTCTTAGAAGATTTTCATCAGATTATTGAATAGAGTGTTCATATAAACCCCTCAGTCTCAATCTGTAATCGGAATGTATTCATTCGGATTGGCAAAAATCTGTGCTTGTAAACATAGCCATTGTCTGATGTCCACTAAGGCGTGCTGGCACATCTTTTTGTATTAAGAACTGTTACTAGGTGACTTTGCACCTTTGGAGGAGAACATTAATCACCTAGCAGTACCATGTTATAGTGGTATTCCTCAGTATGGAACTGACTGGGGGTTAAATCAACTCCCTTTGTCCGGTTCCACTTCCTGTGTATCACTGGGAGGCCTTTTAAAATAAACTATTGAAATTATTATATCTGTATGTAGGTGTGCTATTGAGAAGGACATTTTGTTTCCTGCATTGATCCTGTTTTAATCTTTAACTTAATGAAATAATTTAAGAACTTGATGACAGAAACGTTTCAATAGTTCAATGATATTTATTTGATCACTTCTTGTGTACATGTACAGTAGTGTTGTAGTACTCGGGTAACAGTCTCTGTCTTGTCTCAGTCTTGATATAATTTTTGTCTCAGTCTTGGGAGAAAGTGGACTCAGAAATTGTTCTCAAGTCCAGCTGAGAGCAATGCCTCCGTCTGAGGTAACTGGAAACTGAGCTTTTTTTGTCATTGAATATCAACGAAATCTTCAAACAGAATAAAACAGTCTTTTCTCTGCATGTGTAAATAAAATCTAATCGGTCATTCCATTATGACTTAACTGGGTTTTAATTCTTTGTTGATGTTTGTTGTTTCCAAAACTCAAACATCTCCCGAGGGCAGATCTGAATGTTAGTGTTACTTTATTTTAATGTAATAATAAAATGGATATGTGTTGTTTGGTTTATGTTCTGTTAACTTTAGGTGGTGATTCTAAATGAGTTTTAGAGAAGAAGGACAGAGGATAATGTCACTATCATTTGCTTCCAAAAGTTACAGTGAAAAGTTGGACTGAGACTATAATATATTATTAATTTAAAATATTTTAGGCTATTATTATTTACCACAGCATGGCTGTAAAAACAAATTAGAAATGTATGAAAAATACCCATTCATAATTTTTGTGATGCCATTGTCGTGGAAATTCTGACAACAGAAAAAATCACAAGTTTCGAGTAAGGAAAGGAAGTTTCGAGTAATTTGAGAAAGGAAAGTGATACAGACCAGAAAGTGAAGTGATGAGAGCGCGCGCTCTGAAGCGGCTCCTCTACACACAGAGGATTTATAGTTTGCAAGATCAAGGTTGTTCGCCAAATATGGCTATGGGCCTGTGCAGTGTGTTTTGTTTATGCCATGTGTACATGGACTCACAGCATGCAGCACGCTCTGATCGTGTGGGGTGTGCATGGTCGAGGTCGTGCTGACTAGCATATCTTGCAAAACAGAAGTATCGGGGTCTGACATCCCGTTTTGCACCCCGAGTGATTAAGTGCTCAAGGACAAGGACAAGTGCTCAACATGTTTTCATACCCTGCAAGCTAACGCAATGCATTAATAACAGACAGAATACATCAACGTTACAGTTTATACATGGGCGAGCATCATACAAATTTCCAAGTGTGGTGGGGGGGGTGAGAGCACTTGCAGGTGTCTTTCCCATCTAACACAGACTTGGACAAAACAGTTACGGCCTTATTCAAATTATAGGTAAATTAGACAATCTGCATATACAATTATAATTATAATGCAGACTTGGATTGGATGAGAAACCTAACTAAACGCAAGGTCACTGGAGAGATTCATGGGCGTTATAATGATTATAGTTATAAAAGTTATAAAATGATAGAAAAGCCCATTTCCAGCTCCTGTACTACTTAAGAAAAATATTCCATATTAAAATGATGCAAATTTGATTACAGAAGATCATCTATATCCTTTCACTACAAATTAAATGATAAAATATGACATTATTTATTAATACATATCATGTATATTCGAAGACCATGAATATACAGTGAACTACAAACAAGTTTCGATTTTTCCTCTTCATTCTTTTTTATTTTTACATTCTTGTCTCTGACTTCAGTGCTACAAAGTCTTGGTTTTAACTCGATGTGTCCAGGTTTCAGTCTTGACTTGGACTCACCTCTAGTGGCCTAATATACAGTAAAAAAAAACAAAAAAAAAGTGAAATTAAGCACTTTTTAGAAGTGTTAGAACTTTTCCTCAACCCACAAAGCAAAGATGCACTAGAATGAATGACTGATGCATAATTGATATTTATTTATTTACTTGCTTGCTTGCTTCTTGTTGGTTTGTTTCTTCAGTCTCTCAATCCATTAGTTACCAGTAACATGTTGTCGGGCCCAAAAGCCTTTCTTCTGTGCTCAAGGCCTGTGGACAGAGATGGATTCTCCTAGCGTGTTCTAATACTGTTACCTCAATATAACTTCCTCTAACAAAATAAGAAAAATGTGAAAGTGTAAAAAGCAAAGTAAAATAAAAAGACTTCAGTTGCTGAGTTCTTGTGGAAGGAAGGAAAAGGCCTTCTGCTTTATTGAGCTTGGATGGCAAGATGGTTCCTGGACAACCACAATGCAAAGAACATGTCAAAAACACCCACTTTATATCCTGTTTGGGATGATGAAGTAATCGCCCCTCCTTTTCTATGGAATTTTATACCATCTTAGTTCCCATTATTTCCAAACCTTGCATGTATGTGGGAACTGTCACATCTGCACTTGGGAACCCTTATTTCCAATGATACACGAAATATGTTTTTTAAAAATATCTTCTCTTAGCTGTATCAGAACGTTCCAGTTCCCAGGGACAATAGCTTTGACTGGTTGCATTGTAAGTTCACCTGTCCCAGGGCTGGTTCTTATCTCAAGGACAGTTCTTCTTGCTCACACAGCAGATTCTCACAAGCTTCAGGAGGCCCCTTTTACTAACAGGATTTGAAGCTAAGGCCTATTTTACAGTGTGAAGATTACTATTCTTTGGTTAATAAACACTACTTGTTAGCATTATCAGAAGATAAAGATTATTTATTCAAAACATCCGTCAATGTCTAACAGTAAAACGGTAGAAACAATGAAATGTGCTGCTAAAATGTGCAGCTAAGTCATTATAGCCTTAGTAGTTTGCTAGCTAGCTGATTTAAAATATCTGAATATCTGTGTTTCAAAATCTGTCATTCCACAATAATGACCATGGTTTTGGAATGGGATGTCCAGAAAGCGCATATAGTTGTGATGGTCAGGTGTCCACATACTTATATAGTGTACATGGATTCACCAAAGTAACAAAGTTCCTCTTCTTTTAGAAGTACACTATATGTAAAATTTTACACAATTTAAAATTTTAAAAAAGTACACAACATTTGAGCAACATTTCTTTTTAATATAAACCCAAAACATTCCATGCATAGTTTCTGGAAGTTCTCTAGAAATGTTCTGCTCATATATCACCAGGGTGCCTATCGGCTCACCATTAAACTTCAGACTCTAAGAGTCTCTTTGAGTCGCCTCAATTCCCTTTAAAAGTCAGATGCAATCAGCTAAGTGGATTCAGTCAGTGACTTGAAAAGATTGTTGCTGACGTTGCCTGATGTTTGTTTAACTTTTTGTCCAACAAAGCAGTAACTTGCTGATTTTAACTATGGGCACATACATGACCTAAACTGCCTGCTTTACTATGGGCTCTGTGGAATGTCATTTCTTAATCTGTCTACACTCTGTCGCACTCTGCTGGCTTCATACGGTATTTCAAGAGACTGCAGAACATATAACTGAGGTATGGGGTAATGTAGTTTGGTTCAGTCAGTTACCAGCTGATATGGGTCACCCAGAGAATTTTAGAGATATTATCAAGAGAATGGTTGTACATGAAGAAAACATGAGAGTTTATTTTTGGATGAATGAAATAAATAAATGAAATGTTGGAACTTAATGTGTGACTACTATGTTTTTCTGTTGCTTCACTGTCTGTGACTGACCTTCTGTTTTTTTGAAAAATATATGTGCATTTTAAATTTGATGCCAGCAACAAGTTTCAAAACAAAAGACAAGTTGTGTAATGCTAAAAAAACACCTGATGGAACATGTACAACTAAGTCTTTCAGAAGTAAAGATGAAGAGGGGTTCACCACTCTGTGAAAGACTACACTGACAAAAAGTGCAACAATTCAAGATCAGTGTTTCTCAACATAAAATAGCAAAGAACCTGGGGGTATCATGACCCATGTGGTTCCTACCACACAGGGCAGACATTGAATTTTGTCTTAAGTTCTTACAATTTACCTACACCTAATAATTATTCTATTTTGGATCTTTAAAAAAGACATAAGATGCAAGAAGAAAAAAAGACTTGTCGTGGTGTAGTATCCGAGTTCCATGTGTTATCTGACTTTGCAGGTTTGGAATGTTTAAGTTAGGGGGCCCCTGGTCCAAAGGTCCAAGGGTCAAGATCCCATAGGAATGGACCCCTCTCCCTTCCTCTTTTAGTTCCAGATGGATGAGACTATTTTAAGAAGGACCATATGTTCTGTCTCCTTTTTCAACAACAACCACCCTATATAAGCAGTAGGCCATATTGTTCTGGAGGGGACACTTCAGAATTGGCACGGATCCCCTCTCAGGTACTTTATAGTGCTTGATATGATACTGCTTTACTTTGTAATAAACATACAAGCAAGACTGTGTCAGCGGAGACTTCTTCATCATCTTCACATCATCGCTATTTAATAAACAACAGTGGGAATTC